TCCAGTTTTTCTGGGGATTTTCAGGTGGTCTTTACTGTTTTTAAAATAAGCAAACATTCCTTACAGTACCCAAGTGTAACAATCTTCAATAAAATCTTAATTGCTTACTTTTAATTTTATAATTAAATTCCAATATCTTTAAGCCACTATTAGTATGCGATTGACTGTCTGCCAAAGACTGACTAAGCTTCATCACAAAACCCATTGAACTTAGTCGATGGCAAATGACTTTATACACACTACTACTACTACTACTACTGCAAATTGGCATCTAAATTGCTGCGAAGCTTGTTATAATTATTATAAAATACACGCAAAATCCATTGCAAACACCAACAACAGTTGGGACAACAAATTACAATTACAAACGGGGTGGGCCAACCCCGTCAAGTAAATCCACAGCGATGATTGTGTTTCGTTATGGGCACGGGTTTATAACGTTTATATAGAGAGACGGGGTAGAGAGGCAGGGCCTTTACCCATAAATGTTCTATAGATGTCGCGACATCAACGGATACATATACGAAATCATGTTTTTGTAGCTTTTAGGGGCTAATCTCCACTGCAAAAATTGTCACAAAATTTCACAAATTGCCCTTTTGTCATGGCTACCGTGTGCTCTGTATCTGTGTATCTATAGATTGTGTATCTGTTAGATATTGTACGTATCTGTTGGATGTATTGCTGATTTATATCTTGTAGCGGCTTAAACAAGCTCACAGAGAAACAAACTCAGCTCCAAATTTGGTCAAAAAGTGAAAAGAATTATGCGCCGTTCGGATTTCCGTCAAAGAAATGTCTCTGTTTTGTATCTTTGTGTTTGTTGTTTTGATTTTTTTCAATTTAGCCACAGATACATTTGTATCTATCTGTAGCGAGCGGAAATGCTGCGTAATTAAGTTGAAAATGCTTAAAACCGAAACGCTGCGCGAACTTTTTGAATTTTCAGCTTGACTTTTTGGCATGCTGATTTTTTTAAGGCGTTGGCGATATGGGAGAATGGTTTGGTTTGGTTTTTGAAAGAGGGGGGAATTTTGAAGCCAAATTAGGAAGGTCAGTTTTGGAAATTACGGAAGTTGAAAAGAAAGTGAAAAGAAACGTTTTGCAGGCATTTAAGCAGAGTTGTTTATAAATAAATTAATTAATAATATTGAAGCAAATCTTCAAAAACCAAAAGGGATTTAATAATGGCTGCTGTTTTGTGGTTTAATATTATTATTCTTTTGATAATATATATTAATATATAGAGGTTTAATTCTAAAGAACATTTGATGAACAGTCGGTAGTTAAATAATTTGATTTATTTTGTTCTTTTAACTGAAATTTCAATAGCAGAAATATGACTTATATTCATTAAGCTAACTCTGGCACCTTTTAAGCCTTTTCTAACCTTTAAATTGCTGGAATTGCTGTAACAATCCCTTAAGATTGTCTGTCAATCTCTGCTACTATTAACTTGAGGAAAACTTCTACGAATTTCTACCCCTCTACGGAAGTAATACCACGATGCAACCCACCCAGCTCTAGAGAGACCTTACACCAGCCCCTCAAGGAAATAAAACTTGGATCAAAGCATTTCCATTGACGGCCAAAGAGACGTTTTCGACCCACAGCATCACTCAGCCCCCTTTGGCAGCAGAAATGTTAGAAAAAAACACAACAAATGCCCCAAGATAAACAATCGAAAACATCGCCCAGCTTTGACTGGGAATGTAACTGCCGCTGCAGTGAAAGAAAATATATGAAAAATATTTAAATATATTGAGTTACTTATATACTAAAATATAATATGTATTTATTTCTAAAAATATGATAAAGTTGACTTGCTTTCACCTTTAAAATTAAGCCTTTTAAGTAAGGATATTCTTTTTTAGGCAACCTTAAAAAAAAGATTGGTTTATGGGAATTTATTTCAGAATATATTATAATAATAATAATATATAATATATATATTTAAAATAATATAATAGATAATGGGAATGTCAACTGTTTAAATACCATTTTTTCTTATAGATATTCTCTTTTAGAAACCTAGGAGAAATTATTGCTTTATGGGAATCTGTTTTAAAATGGGTTAAAGTATTAAATTACTAATTATGTTAATAGGATATTGGTTAATAGGAATGAAAAGCTGTGTGAATATGATTATTTCATATTATTTACCATTTCCCAAATGTATTAGAGCCCCATTTGTTCACTGTATTAGAACTACGTCACACGTGTCATTGGGTCTAGACTGGAATCTCGCCGAGCTGCGCGTTGATGTTGAGACTGTGTATCGAGCTCTGAGCTGAGCTCTGAATCTGAGCTGAATCCAATGGGGGTAGCTAATGGCTATAAAAGCGACAACTACTGTCGGTGGCAAGTTTAATTTGCTCAGAGCAGAAACCGCGAGTGGACGTCTTCAATAGAGAACGCGATAAGTGAAAAGTAAATCGAGGCCTTGCTGTTGCTGTTCGTCCCGTTTCCTCCCGAGGATTATATAGAAAAAACTGACAGATATGGCTCTGGTGCCGGCTACAAATAACACCGATTGGGATTACTGGGATTATCGTCGTCGCTTGTGGCGCGATTGGGATTTGGCCGACTGGGATTTGCCCTACTGGAAGCGGTCTCTGTCCCGCGTGGGATCCGCACCCGATCTCAGTCGGGTGATCGTTGGCAAGGATGGTTTCGAGGCCAATGTGGATGTGCATCTGTTTAAGCCATACGAGATTACGGTGAAGACCACCGGAGACACTGTGGTGGTGGAGGCCAAGCATGAGAAGCGCCGCGATGGAGACACTTTCGTGGGTCGCCACATTGTCAAGCGGTTCGTCCTGCCCCGAGGATATTATCCCAATGATGTGCGATCGGAGCTGTCCTCCGATGGCATCCTTACCGTTCGCTGTCCACCGTATCTGACCAATGAGCGGAGTGTCTATGTCCGCCAAGTGGGTCCCTCGTATCTAAGCATCAAAAACTAACCCGCCTCGGGATCTGGAAACCATCACTTTTGTGTTTTGTTTTTAGTTCTCTTCTGTTGGAGCAAAATCGAGCCATCAAATTAATGCACACGACCAGACCAATGAATGCGTCTGAGACTTTTCCGAGATTCATAATGCTAAGACTAGAATTGGACTCTTTTTGTAATTAACAAGGCAACCTTTTGTTTAGTTAAATAAAATAAAAGTTTAATTTATTAATAATTAATTAACTCTTATCTTATTTGGTTGTGGTTTCACTCTCCTTCCTTCCCCCAGCGGATGTCTTCCGAACGAGATTTTAAAACAATGCCCAGGGAAAATGTCAACATAAATCGACTCAAATTCGAGACAGACAAAAAAACAAAAGTCAGCTGCTGACCAGAATAGAATGTATATACTATATCTTTGTTATATAGCCACGCCCTTGAGCAATTTCCGCAATTTGCCATCTAAGGTTAAGTTAAAATGTAAATGGACAACAACTGTGAGCATAAACCTACACAGGAAAGTGTCGCACTGCAAAACGCATAGAACTGGCCTGGATATAGCTCTGGAAAAACTAATCTAGATATATTTATATATATATATCGGTTGACCATACAAAGTAGCTAGAGTTAAGCGAATTCGCACGCCCACAATTGTTTGTGAAGCGTGGAAGCGACTTTGCTGGCGTTTTATAACGCTATAGCGATTTAAAAGCGATTTAAAACGCGTACGCGCAGTAGCAGGCCAAGCGTTTAAAAACGCTTTAAAGTTGCTACAAACTAATTCATTCAGAATTTATTATTAAAATATAGAATTGAAATAGGGAATTACATTATTTCTAAATTCAAGAGTTAACAGATGTTTTTAAATTTCAAATAATATATATTTTAGAAGGAATTTAATTAGAATTTCCTATACCTAATCATTTAGCACCACTTTTTGCTAGCTAATTAGTAAAATAAATAGATCATTAATTGGTGAAAAACATTGAATTTAAATATTTGAATTAACACTCCCACCAGCGACAAAAGCCGCGCACAATTGTCTCTGTCAATCCGCGAATCAATCGAATGGGTCAATTATGTGTATAGCCTTAGAACATTTTGCAGTTTGTTTGAGCCAAAAATAATACGAAAACAATTTGTCAATCAAATTGTGGGCTATCAACTGGCGAGGTCTGCCGGACAATGGGAACCGCAGGGGATTGGGCAGTAACTTTGCCCATTTGGGAGCGAGCATCTACAACGGGTGAGCTACTTAGCTATATTATGGGTATCGAGTATATATAGTATATAGAAAAAAACATGTTTGTTCGACTCACCAAATAAGTCAAAGAGTGCGGCGAGTGTAACACACCTACGCGCCATTGTGTTGTGTATTTAATTTTGTTTAATTAAAAACAATTTACAATTTGGCGAGCGACTGCAGCAGCGGCGCATTTGATTCGGGATGATTGAGCGTTTTATATTTATGTAATGGCATGTAATATTAATAATCATCATTTTCCGGACAAAGCACTTTTGACAGTCGCTGAAGGATCATTGGCGATCAAGTTCAATGCAAATGCAGAGGAGGCAGTCCCTCATGGCAGTCCCCTCATCAATTCTCGTGGCTCAATGCTAATGATAATACCGCCGAAGTAAAAATAGTTTCCTTCTCCACCGATCGAAATGGTGACACTTGTGCGACGCTCTCGCACTAATTTGCTTTATGATAGCAATGAAATATCAGCATATATATATGCCTCTAAAACTACATATTTATATATCTTTGGAGGCGAGGAAAATCCGTGGGTTCCCTTCGAGAAAATTTGGAATCTCTTTGGCTCCTCAGTCTTGCCTTGGCTCTCGACGGAAACGGTGCGTTCTTCTTTTCTAAATTCAAAAAATTCGAGCTCTTTTTCTTAAGATTTTCGGAAATGCATATATATACAAGTTTTCTCTTTACACTTTAAGTTAAATAAAGTTATTACATTCTTAATCACTAAAAATTACTGCAAGTGCTTTGTCTTCGTGTAAAACTGTCCCTTTATTTTCATAAAATGCTTATAGATATATATAAAAAGTGCTGAACATGTGCTATTTATAAAGCCGCCTTAATCTTAATGGCTCTGCCCCTCTATATATCTTTACATATATAGTTCTTGTCCCATAAATATATTGGAGACCAACTAAAAAAACGAAACGAGAAACGTGAAATTTTATTAATGTCTTCTTATTTATAAAATTCAAAGAAGTCAACGGAAGTGAAAGTGAAAAGGTGTGAAGCAGTTCCAGAAAGGATCGTGAAAAGGGCTGCAGAATGTGGGCGGCGAAATATGTTTTATGGACGCTGACCTGCGTTGCATTTGCTTCAGGTAAGTGTGGGCGAAGTTCTATAATATCTCAAAGATATATAGGGGAAAGGGAAATTTATGGCATACTTATTGACAGAGTTTTGAGAATTAAAATTATGCCAATGGATCCATTCATTGTGAGGTGGATATATCTCATCAAAAGGCTTGAATTATGCATAGAGAAAAGTAAAATATAGCCAAAGAATTATTTAAAAGAAATCAGGGATAAATAAATTATATATAATTTAATTTGTTTTTGATTTCATCAGAAAATCAGTACGATCAGTTGGATTCATCATTATTATACCCTTATAATTTCAGTCAGAAGCTTATAACACTGTGAAGGAATCATTTCCGACCCTATAAATCATATATATTTTTGATCAGCATCAACAGCCGATTCGATCCAGTCATCTTAGCAGAATAAAAGAATTAAAAAATTTTTTGAAAATTTTTATTTCATTTTTACATAGGTAAAATTGCCAAAAGTGTAAAAAAATTTAAAAATTTTAGATCTTTAAATGAAGTATGCAGATTTATTAACCTGATAAAAATGAATACAGGAAAGCTTTCCGATTTAAAATGAATGCTGTTTGGCTTAGTTATGAATTCTTGAAACTTTGATTTATCGAATTGTCATATAAATATATCGATTCAAAAAAAGTGAATATTTTAAGTTATGATCGGTTTCCGATCCGATCCTTTAAGTCACTTGCAATTTCGACTTCCCAAAGGTTTTATCCTTTCTTGATTTATATTATTTTTTTTAAGTAAAGCAATTAAATTATAAAATATACAAGGTTTCCATTTCTACGGTTTCTTATTCATAAAAAGCACAATTTTCCGTATACCCATTATATATTTTCCCGAGTTATAATTCAGTTTATTCTTATTCATAAGAAACATACTTTTCCTTTTCTCGAATCTTTATCTATATGACCACATATCCACAAAACTGTCATAAAAACCATTTGTCCTAACAGCTAATGGACCATATATGTATATTTTTATGACACGTTCTTCTCCGATAGGAAAATTGTGCTATATAAATGAGTCACAACTAACACGGGGCATCCATTTACCTTAACGAAAATTTAGTTCACCAAATTACCGGCCGGCATTCAGAGAGACAAGAAACATAAAAACCGATCGTAAATCAAAGCAAAGAAAATCCCAAAAATGAAAAATTAAACTAGAGGAGAAACGAGAAGAAATCTTCATGGCAATGAAAAGTCTTTTGGCACTGATTCAACTGATTGATTCAGCTTGTTTTTATGGGTTTCCCCTTAAGTAGATGAGTGTCTAGGATAGTTCAGAATGTGTTTTATGATATCCAAGGGACTAGCTGTAGGAGGTATTAAAAATAGGGATGTCTTTGAAAAGGAGATTTTATTTTAAAAGTAAAGTAAATAACAAAAGATTATAAGGGACTTTGGTTGGTTTTAGTATATAATTAAAAGTACTTAAATATACTGATTGATGAGAGCTTGACATTATTTAAATTCATTTTAAGATCATTCTTTCATGGATTGTGATCTGTAATAAAAATATATGCGTGCTCTTGAATTATTAATGTACAAATCAAAATAGAATGATTAAAAGTTTTCAGTTAACTTGCATAATTCTAGGCTGGAAAATATTTAGAAATTATTTACTATAGTAGAACATTATCTTGTCATCAGCTTCTTCCCCTAACACAGCATCCATAAGCTCAGAGCGAAGGGAAAAGATTATGAAAATTCCCGAAGAACCCAATGTACCCAAATCCCTCGCGGCTATTCTGGACATGAGTTGCGTGGAGGCCAAGGTTGTGCCGCCAGAGATTAACCATGGTCGGGTATCCCTCTTCGAGCGTCGTCGTCGTGGCGAGAAGGTCTTCCTGGTGGCATATTTTTCCTGTAATGAAAATTACAAATTCGAAGCCGCAGACGCCACTGCCATGTATTGCTCCAATCGGAAGTGGGTCGGGGAAATCCCCACATGTATTCCTCAGGCAGAATATACCGATGGCGAGGGCGAGGGAGATGGTGATGGAGACACTGAGTTTGATGAGTACGATGAGTACGAAACGATTCCCAATGATGAACTCAATTCAGTTGAGAACAATGAGGATGACGAGCAGGACATTGAGCAAGAACCACCTTTGCCACCATTGCCACCGCCGGTTAAGGAAGTGACAGAAGAATCCAAGCTGGAAGTTACCGGTGATGTTAAGCCAGAGCCACAAATAGTTATTCAGATTAATGAAGACAAGAGTAGCCCCGTGGCACCATCTAATATTGAAATTCAAGAGGAAGAGGATACATCTTCAGAGCCTAAAGAACTAGAAGCCGACAATGAAGTTCCCCAAGAAATCGAAACTCTCCAGAAGCCAGAGATTGCTATTTCTCAGGAGCCAGGAAATGAAATAGTTCAGGAACCTGAAGTAATTCCAACTCAGGAAGCAGAAATTCAGCCCGCTGAAATTGCACCCAAGAAGGATCCTTATGCTCCAACCCTTTTGGGTACCGATTGCGGTGAAGACAATCCCAATTGTGAGCAAATTTGCAAGCGATTGCTTTATCCAGATGAGAATGAACCCGTCTACAAGTGTGACTGCTGGCAGGGCTATACCCTGAATCTTACAGATTATACCGGATGTATTGGTAAGTGAAGTCAACTATTATATTTTATACTCTATATTCATTTCTATATTTCTTTTCCAGATATCGACGAATGCCAGGAGTCGAATGGTGGTTGTTCGGAGATTTGCAATAATCTGCCAGGAGGATTCCAGTGTGGCTGTCAGAAGGGCTACCAATTAGATGTTTCAACTGGAAAGAGTTGTGTTGGTATGCACAAAATAAAAGTAACATTTCATATAGAGACTATATATCTTTTTATTAATTCTTAGATATTGATGAATGTGCCAATCCTGAACTGTCAGCGGACTGCCAATCTGGTTGCGAGAACCTTCCAGGTTCCTATCGCTGTGTGGTGCCTCTGGTGACCAAGGAGGAAGCCACCAAAGAGGAAACTCCTAACGAGGTCATCGAAGAAGTGGTCAAGGAGACATCCACCAATGTTGCACCCTCTACACCGATTTGTAATGCCGGCTTTGAGCTCTCAGCCGATGGCAGTCAATGCCAGGACATTGATGAGTGTGAAGTGTTTGGTCCCGAAGACCCTCATTATTGTCAACACAAGTGTGAGAATACAATTGGTTCCTACCGTTGTCATTGCACTGGCGGCTACCATCTCCTCGAAGATCTTCACAGTTGTGCCTTAGATGGCTGCGCTGATTTGGATAATCCGCAACTGAATCGCACTCGTTGCGCTCATGAGTGTGAGGATCTGCCGGAGGGCAATTACCGCTGCAAGTGCCCCGAGGGATATGAACTCTCCGAAGATGGACATTCCTGCTCAGTGCTGGAGACGCCCTGCTCCACACAGAAGGGTCACGAACGTTGCTCACCGGGAACCTGCCAGCCCACTGAAAATAACACCAGTTTCAGCTGCATTTGTCCCAATGGATACAGAAGTGAGGGTCTCAGCTGCCAGGATATCGATGAGTGTGCGGAGGAGTCGCATTTGTGCAGCCACCAGTGTCAGAATACACCCGGAGGCTATCAGTGCCTATGTCCCGAGGGTCTCAACCTGGTGGAGGAGTTCACCTGCCTGGCCGAGGATCGTTGCGAGGTCAACAACAATGGCTGTGAGCAGATTTGTCTTACTGCCCGCGGTGGTATCTGCTCCTGTCGCGAGGGTTTCCGCCTGAGCGCCGATGGCAAGAGCTGCGAGGATGTGGACGAGTGTCTGGTGAAGAACGGTGGCTGCCAGCAGGTGTGCCGCAATCTGCCAGGTTCGTATGGTTGTGTCTGTGCCGCTGGCTACGAGCTGCTCAAGCTGGACGGGATACGTGGCTATTGCTTCGACATTGACGAATGCTCGAGGGGAACTCACAGTTGCAGTGAGCAATTGCTTTGCGAGAATCTCAATGGTTCGTTCACCTGTCTTTGCCCACCGGGCTATGCCCTGGGATTGGATAATCACATTGCCACATCACTAAATAACTCATCATCATCTCATGAATCAAGTTCATCTGTGGCTTCATCATCCCCATTATGCTTGGACATTGATGAGTGCTCTTTGGCTAATGGCAATTGCTCACACTTTTGTCAAAATGAACCCGGTGGCTATCAATGCGCCTGCCCCATGGGCTTTGCTCTCTCCGAGGACATGCGCACGTGCCAGGACATCGACGAATGTGGCGAAAATAATGGTCATTGCGCACAGCTCTGCTTGAATCAACCCGGTGGCTTTGCTTGTGCCTGCGAATCGGGCTTCGATCTAACCAAAGATGGCTTCGGCTGCTCGGACATTGATGAGTGCTCCCAGAGCTATGGAAATTGTAGCGACATCTGCATAAATCTTTTAGGTACCTTTGCCTGTGCCTGCGAGAGGGGTTACGAGTTGGGGAAGGACGGTAAAACCTGCCAGGATGTGGATGAGTGCTCGGGATTGCTCTCCGGCGGCTGCACCCATGAGTGCATCAACAAGGAGGGAACCTTCGAGTGTGGCTGTCCCTGGGTTATATGCTCAATGAAGATGGTCGTAGCTGTCGTCCCGCTTTGGTTGGTTGTCCACCGGGCACCCAGAGGACCTCCGACGGATGTGCTCCCATCGATTGTGACCTTGGCTGGATCCTGGGCTCGGATGGCAAGTGTGTGGACATTGACGAATGCCAGGTGAACAATGGTGGCTGCTCGCATCGCTGTGAGAATAGCGAGGGATCCTTCAAGTGCAGCTGCCCGCCGGGCTCTAAATTGGATGCTAAGCAAAGGAATTGCGAGGATATCGACGAGTGTGCCGAGAACAAGAAGAGCTGCATGGCTGGCAGTTGTGTAAATGAGGTTGGTGGGTTCCGTTGTGAATTCCCCAAGTTTCCCGATCTTCCCGAGGTTCCAGCCGTTTCTGCTCTGCCCGAGTTTCCCGAGTCAAAGTCCAAGAAACCCAAATATCCCGACTTTACTGAACTCTCAACGAAATACCTGAGAGTCCAAAGTTCCCCTCCTTCCCGGAGATATCTAAGCCAAAGTACCATCGTTCCCTAGGATGCCAAGCTTCCTGGATTCAATCACACCGGAGCCTAGCTTTGGTCAGCACAGCCCAGGGATCTCTGTCCTCGTTTCCAGGCTCCGCCCAATGGCAAGGCTCGCTGCAATAGATATCGTCAGAAGAAGAAGCTGTTCTACAATAGTCGTTGCCGAATTACTTGCAATCCTGGGTATATTATTCAGGGTCCGGAGATCAGGAGCTGTGGACCCACAGGAGTTTGGGAGGGTCCCGAGACCAAGTGCGTTGGTAAGTCACCCTTCCTATAAGGTTTTTCAATTGAAATACTTATCTTTAATTTCTTTTAGCTTTCCACCAGCCTAGTGTTCAGACTCCAGGAATCTGTCCCGCTCTCAGACCTGCTCGAAATGGTGTAATCTCTCCGGCCAGCTGTACCCAAGGTCCATCTCGGTATGGAGACATCTGCCAGCTGCAGTGTAACCCTGGTTTTGTGGCCACCGGACCCATGTTGACCTCCTGCATGGTCCTCCAAGGTTGGGCCTTTGGTTCCGATCTCGATTGCAAGCCCTTCGACAGCAGCAGCATATTTGGCAGTCAGATTCCCTGGGCTCCAACGCAATCCTTGCAGAATCTCTCGCCTGTGCGAGTTCACCAAGTCAGCCAGAGAATTAGGCCTCAGATCAAGTGTCCAGAGAATGTGGTGATCCTGCTGCATCCTGGAGAACAGAAAACACATGTGACTTTGCAGAGACCAGAAACGAATCTGAAACGAAGTCAATTGCTAGCTTCCCCCGCATGGGCAGGAAAGCTTGAGGGACATTTGTCAGCCGGTGTGCATAAGGTCCACTTTAGAGTGACGGATCCGGAGACCAGGTTACATGCATCCTGTGAGACAGTGATCACTGTCAAGGCAGCAACTCCTAGCTATTCGTCAGCTCAATTTTCCTCACTGCCTAGGCCAGCTCCATTTCCCACATTTCCTCCAGCAGCTCTGCTAGATTTCCCTCAATTAGCTCCTTTAATTCGGAGCCTCAACCAGTTTCCTTTCGCTCATTCTCCAGTCACAGTTCACTGGGAAATTCCGAATTTCCGAGTCTCAGTTCGTCAGTTCCAAAGGTTTCACCCTTTTCCGGCCTGGAACCATTTTCTCAGAAATCCGCTAAACTAATTGGTCCTGCTCCGGCGGCTACTGAAAGTTCACGTATAGATTTGGGTTCGGATACGACCAACTACTGTCCGCCTTCCATTGAGGTTCACTTGAGGGAGCATCAGAATCTGCGATCTGTGGTCTGGGAGGAGCCGCGTTTTGATGGGAAATTATTAAAGATATATAAGTCGCATGTGAGTAATATGGAAAATACTAAATTCATGGGAAATCTTATATAATTTTCCTTTTTTACAGTTCCCTGGAGCTTTGTTCAAGGCCGGAGATCATACCATTAAATACGAGGCCACCACCACAGATGGTGTCACCCTTAGATGCATTTTCTTTATTCATGTCAGAGGTAAGTATTATAAATTTATAGTTATGAATGTATAATAATTATCTTTTCTTAAATAGCTGCAAAACCCACACCTCCACCGCCCCAGGCAGAGCTCATCTTTGAGCCCGAGGTCGAGTCCAACTCTGCGCCTGCGCAACTCCGCTCTTTCGAAGGCCTGGAGTCAGGAGTCTATGTCGTTTGTCCCGATAAAGAGCCCGTTCGGGTGACTGACCAATCCGTAAGTGTGTGACTTTCCTCGAACTCAGCTTGTGCTACGAATGAAATAGGAGTCACTAAGCGAAGGTTTCATGTTTTGCTATCATTAATATCTAATAATAATAATAATATCTATATCGGAATATCTAGGTCAATCTGCCCGTGGGCTGCACTCTGAAGAACGTGCGCCCGCAATCGAGTCCCCAGAAACACCTGAAACGCGGCAAGCTCACCTCGCTGTGGCATCACTATATGAATTTCTAAAGTCTGTAACTATATACATATATAAACTATAAACGACTACTCATCATCATCACATGGAATAGAATGGATTTGATGCGACACTTATATAAATATTTTTGTACGTCTTTTGTATGATTAAATTAAATAAATATATATTTAAATAAATGAGGATGGATTTTCTTAGGTTTTTTATTAAGATAAGAATAATTTTATCATCTGTTAAGTTAGGTTTATCAATATAAAAGTATGTTAAGTAAAAATTTAAACTCTTAATTATGATTATCACAACTGTTGACCATGAAACTCTTCTTCACTTGTAAACTTGTGTAATATTACATCAGCTTTAAAGTTTTTCTTTTATCAGTCAGCGTGCCATAAAGCCACTACCACTAACCTCTCAACTCTAAAGTATAAACAAAAACAATTATTGTTTTCCACAAAAACAAAAACCCCAACGCAATCCACACAGAATAAAGCAACTAGAACTAGACTGAGGCTTAATCAACTTAAAAATGATTGATTTATGTCCAAAGTCTGGATTGGAGCAATAAGAAAAAATAAGCTGACTGAGATCAGGTGAGTAAACTGATTGATTAAAGATTGATTCTGATTTCAATTCCCATCAAATCAGTGTGTGGATCGTATGTGCATACGTAACAGCAAAGTCAGCGCGTGCCAGGCCCACCACTTGAAGCTATTCACTACTGAAATAATTGCCCTGAAATGCCGTTGAACTCGTTTGGTAAGAACCTGTCATTAAAATTATAAAAAAAATCACTATGTTAAGATTATTCAGCTTTATTTGTATATTTTTTTATTTAATTTGCAAAAACAAAGAATCTAAAACTAGCTGAAATAATGTTTTGTTAAAACGAACCCCAGCAGAGCCATGAACATGACTGCTGATAATATTTTGAGGAAACAGTCGAGCTTCCCTCAAGAAGAATTTTAACAAGTTGGGAAAGAATGTTTTTAGGAAAAAATTAAAGAAAATTCAGCTTAAGGAATATATATTTATTATTATTATAACTATAAAAGAAAAGCTTATTAGAAACAATACCAAACTCTAATATCTTCTCTTATCTAAGTTTTGTATTGTTCTTTTTACACATTTCTTATTTTATAGATAGTTTTAAATACTTTAAATGACTTGCAGATGCCTGACTGTACCTATGTTTTAATATTTCGATTTAATCGGCTAGACAGCGACTTCTGTAATGAGATGGAATGAGATTTTAGGCCCATCGATAGGCACTCGGGACTGATAACCCCAGAAGCCGCAGAGTTAGAGCCTAGAGATTGGACCGCATGTGGATGCCATTCCAAGATCATTCACTCGCCCGATTGCCCGCATTATTATTTACTGGTTTCAGCTTTGAGTTTGGTTTTCGTTTTCGTTTTGAAATCGCCATAAACTAGAGGGGGCTGGGCTGTGGGGGCCTAGAGAAAAGTCTATTTAAGCCCGAGATTAAGTCAGAAATTAAATCAGTTTTAAATCGTGTGCCGAGCGAGCGGATCGTTTTTGTTTAATTCAGTGAAGACACCACAGAAACGGAATCTAGTGAGAATGTACCAGCGTCAGGTCTCCTTTGATAAGGTTTGTGCTTGGCTCAGCAAAGTAGTCCTCGCCGCGAACTTTAATATAGCAATCAAATTAATAACAATAACACATTTATTTATTTTGTGCACTCAACCTGAACTTTTGCTAACCTTGACTTGGGGGAATATACATATACCAACAGCAAGCAAATATATATAATTTTATTAAAACGATTAGAGTGAGAAAGCGGATTTATAATCAAAATGACTTGTCATGGAATTGGGTTAGTTCGTCATATATTTACAGACAAAGGAATTCGCATCGAAATACAGAGTGTTTTGAGTGGAATATTTAATGTTTTGCATCAAAACAAAAGTAAATAGTTCTTGTTTTTTATATACCAAAAAAACACATGAAATGCTTATTTATGAGAAACTAGAATGGGAACTGAATTAGAAAACCGGCATTATTTCTATTTGTATATATCTTTGTTTTGGTAACGGAACAGATGCATTAATTAGAAATGGGGAAAAATAAGGCTTAAACTCAGGCAACTTTTGTTCGATAAAGTGTTTCGAATAATAAGTATACTGGAACAATAGGATTTATGAAAGAAGTTCATTAAATAATCTTCGAGTAATTAACTTTAACTTTAATTAACTTTTGAAAGTGTTTATATATACCCTAAGCCATAAATAAAATCATTGGCAATATTATACTTAAATTACAACTTTTCAAGACCTTTTCAAGACACATTATGCCAAGTTCAAGGTTAGCCCTTGGCAATATGCACTGATTGCCTTTGCGGTCAGGCTTAAACCTTCATTATGGTGACTTTACCTCGATGCAAATGATGTAAATCTTATGCAAGTGCTACAATTACAGTTTGTTTAGTCATCTATGGCTTCGTTTATTGCCAATTTACTATAATAATTAACCTTTACTATAATAGATTCACTGATATTTAATCCGCTGGAAGAGTTAAGTGATTTAACAAGTATTGCTGATTATCATTATTATAGAAATATTGCCTGATAGCTGGTTCATTGCGGGTCATTCACTTGGGTTTCCTATGATCCATTGGGATTTTTCCAAAACAAATAAATATTTTTCTCCCTTTTCAATTTTGTTTTAGCCAACGCGCGTTGAGGACTCGGCTTATATAGTCGAGGGTGTGGACATTCAGGAGGCCAGGAATACCTGCCTGCTGTTCTCGCCCAAGGACTCTTCGCTGTCCAGCGGTGCCTTGGCCAATATCCTGGGCATCTTAAGCAGCATGACATTAATCTGGTGCACATTGAGTCCCGCTCCTCGCTGCGTGTACCCGGCTACGAGTTTTTCGTGGAGGCCGATGGCAAATCTGGGGCTCTGGGCAAAGCTATGAGATGTGAAGGAGCAGTGCAGCTACTTTAATATCATCTCACGGATTACAAGGATAATGATACTGCAGTGCCCTGGTTCCCACGGCGTATACGTGATCTGGATCGTTTTGCCAATCAGATTTTAAGCTACGGTTCTGAACTGGATGCTGATCATCCAGGATTCACTGATCCCGAGTATCGTAAGCGTCGCAAGTACTTTGCTGACATCGCGTACAATTACAAGCATGGTGAACCCTTGCCACATGTGGCTTATACCAAGGAGGAGACCGAAACCTGGGGCATTATCTTCAGGAATCTGACTAAGTTGTACAAGACACACGCCTGTCGCGAGTACAATCACGTATTTCCCCTGCTGGTGGACAACTGTGGCTTCCGCGAGGATAATATTCCCCAGCTGGAGGATGTCTCCAACTTTTTGAGGGGTAATGCCATATATTTAATTTGGATACATTTATTTATATTAAAATATTAATATCTTGTTCAAGATTGCACTGGCTTCACCCTTCGTCCTGTGGCCGGTCTTCTTAGCTCTCGTGACTTCCTGGCTGGCCTGGCCTTCCGCGTCTTCCACTCCACTCAGTACATTCGTCATCCCAGCAAGCCCATGTATACCCCAGAGCCAGATGTCTGCCATGAGCTGATGGGCCATGTCCCACTCTTTGCCGATCCGGCCTTTGCTCAGTTCAGTCAGGAGATTGGATTGGCTTCACTGGGAGCCCCAGATGATTACATTGAGAAGCTTTCCACGGTTTGATAATAAATAATATAAATAATGTTTAAACTAAATATTTATTATACTTACAGATCTTCTGGTTCACAGTGAGTATGGTCTCTGTCGTCAGGAGGGTGAGCTGAAGGCCTATGGAGCTGGTTTGCTCTCGTCCTATGGAGAACTGGAATACTGCTTGACGGAGAAGCCGCAACTCAAGGACTTCGAACCGGAGGTCACTGGCGTCACCAAGTATCCGATTACCCAATTCCAGCCTCTTTACTATGTGGCCGATAGCTTTGAAAGTGCCAAGGAGAAGACCATGTATAAAGATCGTTATAAGTAACCATAGTAGATTATCTTTTTAATATGTGCTTTTTGTTTTTCAGTAAATTTGCCAACTCGATTCCGCGTCCTTTCGGTGTGCGCTATAATGCCTACACCCAGAGCGTTGAGGTCCTGGATTCGAAGCCTCAATTTCGAATCTGATGGACAACATCAACTCCGAGTTCCAGATCCTGCAGAATGCCATCACCAAGCTGCGCGTCTAAGCCAGCGGACTTCTGCTACTTTACATTACTCCCCTGTCTATATACATATATTGTTAGGAAAGATTTGAATAATAAATGCCATGAAATTAGTCGTCTTATGTAACCATTTTTGTTTGCTTTATTACAACTCTGTTTAGTTCGATTATGTTTTTTGATTGATTTGATTAGCTTTTTCAGTATGTTGTTTTTTGGGGAAATTTGTTTTGCAAAACATAAAAACATCAAGTTATGTACAAAAATGTTCTAAACTATCGTCTCGTATTTATTTACATGCTTAAGCAAGTTCTCGCAACTTGTCCTATAGGTATGTACAGAGCTTAAACACTGAGTTAACTAGAGTTTTTAAGGTAGTTGTAGTTGAGTGTAAGATAGTTGGTTTTCATTTACAGTTTTGCTAAGTTTAAAGCATTTGGCTCTTTATCAGCTGAAAATCGAAACATATTCGAACGAGCTCTTCCAACAGCAAAATATTAATACGGGAAAAGTGGGTCAACGATTGAACTAAGGTATTTTGGCTGTTGGAAAAGATCTCGGGCCTTAAGAGAACTTATGCGAATATGCTCACAGCAAAATAAATGTCAGTTGCAATCTCAACCTGAGTTTTGAATTAAACATATATATAACATATATCTTAGTTATGTACAAGAATAAACAATAAATCGCATGATAAATATCGTGTTTGACCTCAGTGGCGAAGCCCAGTCTTGAAAATAATATGGAATTGGATTAGCTTTACTTAACTATTTTGTTTTTTAGTTGCTTTGCGGTATTTTTGTTTATTAAAATAACTTAGAATAGACTTTAAGGTTCGATTATGTATCAGAGATCCCTGTTTGTGCCTCGATGGCACTTACTGGATAATGCTAACCTACGGAAACGATGGGCTCTTGCTACAGGCTAGACTCAATCTTAGAAACAATTTAATCCCTACTTACAACGAATTATTTTGAGAACTTTACTATAGCTAATCGGTTTATATACATTCAACACACACACACACAAATCTGGGGGCTAGGACAATACTCAGTCTGTTGAGATCTACAACTAGTTCTCGGTCACCAATACGGAGAAGGGTCGATGATAAAGAGAGCCAGAGGCCAAAACTTGTCTAAAATCTAGCATAATACGCGGGGCTATAGCTAAAGAGAGTTATATACATTAAGGACCTGCACGGGCTATTGACTACTGCCGGGGGCGGTGTGCGGCGAGTTGAATAGATTCTGTGATTGCTCTTGGGACATCTGATAGGGTAATATTTCCAGATCGTTGGGCAACTGATTTTGATTCTGACTCTGACTGTTGCTGAGAAAGGGATTCGAACTGAAGAAGTTGTTTGATTGCTGTTGTTGCTGCTGCTGTTGTTGTTGCTGGTGCTGGTGCATCATTTGCTGCTGGTGCTGTTGTTGCTGCTGCTGTTGATGTTGCTGTTGCAGCTGATTGCTGCTCGAGCTATGCATCATTTTGTTGTCTTCACTCTGCGTCTCCGAGCCATCGTCACTGATGCCCATGTGAAAGTTGAGAGAGGGACTCGATTCGGTGGCCATTTGCATGTAGGATAACAGGGAGTCCTCGTTGTTATTCTGCGGGGGATTCGAACTGCCATTGTTGTTGTTCTGGTTGCCATTATTCTGACTGCTGTTGCCACCATTGTAGTTCTGGCTGTTATTGTTACAGCCAGCATTAAGCTGATTGAGTGTAGACTGAGAATCCAGAGATTGCAGGGGTGACAAATTGAGAAATATATCATCGATGTCCTCTCGCGACAAGATATCATTCTGCTGCTGTAACATTTGCTGCTGCTGTTGTTGTTGCTGCTGCTGCTGCTGCTGTTGTTGCTGTTGGTGCTGCTGTTGCTGTTGCTGATGATGTTGCTGCAGTTGGGTTTGGCTCTGATGCTGTTGTTGCAGATTGTGTTGATGTTGCGTGTGCAGATTCTGCTGTTGCTGCATCATCATCTGCTGATCCTGTTGGTTCAGCATCTGCTCTGAGTTGAGGGCGAATCCATACTGATTAAACTGCGGCTGCACTGCATTGCTTCCAGAGAAGTTCAGGCCACGTTGCCCACTTCCTGATCCCATATTTCCCATGGCCGTGGCCGCCATGTTCGTGGCTGCAAATCCCATGGGCATCATTGGTTGCAGGTATGTGTAGCGTGCCAGGAGCAGCTGCTCGGACACAATCCTCAGCTCATTCTGCTGCTGCAGTATCAGCTTTTGCAGTTCGTCATGCTTGCGCTGCAGCTGATCCTGCAGCTGGCTCTGTGTGGGCGTCATCACCACAGTGTCGGGCAGCAGGTCCTGCTGTGCCTGCACTGGAAGTGGCGATAGGACAGGTGCCACCGGAAATGGCGCAATCACCGGTTGCATGGGTATGGCGGTGAGATATTGCGGTGGCTCCAGAAATGTGGGTGCCACCAACTGGGGGCTAGCAAGCGGGTAGGCGGGTTGAGGAAACTGGCACGCATTGTTGGCCATCAGTTGGGCGGGAGCAATTGGCAGAATGGGCACCATCTTGGGCGGACCCACGCTCTGCTGCAATTGCTGATGCAGTTGTTGGTGCTGGAGCTGCTGTTGATGTTGATGTTGTTGCTGCTGTTGGCTCTGCTGCTGGTGATTATGATGCGACTGACTGTGATGGTGCTCACGGTGATGCGATCGCTGTCGTTGACTTTGCTAAAAGAATAATATATAATATGTAATAATATTTAATTAATATTTTACTTTATATACCCACCGAACTGACATGCGTCATCATGGACTGCCTGCTGGTCACAGAATCCGCTGAAATGGAAGTGGAATCCGACTCATTTCCCCGGTTGGTGTTGAAGTAACACTTCCGCTTAGGCTTGGGCGAGATCCCTGTGGAACTGATATTGCCATAGCTTGAGGCAGGTCGTGATGTTTTCAGGGGATTCACTTGACAGGATCCAGAAGCCTGAGCCGCCGATGCTGACCACATGGGCGACGAGTCCACGGTGGGTGAGGTGGCTGTCGGCTCGTTGCCCAGATTGGCCAGACTGTTGCCCAGCAACGCACTGTCCAAGTTCTGGTTGCCCAGCTCAAAGTCCCTGAGTGTTGTGGTGGCGGATGCGGATTTGCTGCTATTTGCCGTGGAGGTCACGGTCTTGCTGTTCCCATTGTTCTGACTGCTGCCACTGCTGGACTTGGTACGCTCCTTCTGGCTGTCCTTGAGGACCTCCGCGTAGCTGACCACCTTGTGGGTGCAGACCACGTAGTCCGGCTTGGAGTTGAACTGGTGAAAGCTTACATAGTAGTCCGTCTGCAGCCAGATCCACTGCTGTCCCTTGGTCAGGAATCGATAGTAGCAGGATTTTCCCTCTCCCGTCTGTCGCACTGTACATGGGGAATTGGATAATTAAACAATAAGAGTTACAAAAAGTTTGCCAAATGGGAACTGATGTTATTTTATGTTATTATGGCTAAAAAAACCTATTAGGTTGCAATTGGTATCCATCTGTTATGTTAATAGTGTTATTAAATACCTATTTAACAACTACTAATGTTTAATCTTATGTTTAATAACATAAATTCATCACAAGAACTTTAAATAAGTTGATTGCGCACTGTTTTGGTAGCTTTCTTTAACCGCAGCCAACTTAATGCGCTTCGACGGGGTTGCCAGATCGTTTATCTAACACACAACACGCAAGGGCGTAGAATAAAGGGTTTAATGTAAACAATGATCATTACGCTGTAAACTACAGGCTAGAGGGGTGAATTAACAGTATGGCCAATTATTTAGTAAACTAAACCTGCATTATATGTCAAATAACGTATAATAAATCTATGTTTTAGCCTGATCATATATATTATGCTAAGAAAAATTTCAATCACATCTAAAAAAATAGTCAAGTGGAATTATAATTAGGAACCTAGTCTATTTAATGCCATAATCTTTGATTAATAATTATTTAGTGTAATAAAATCTATTATAATCTGTTATACTTTTAGCATACTCCCACCATGTTTACTAAACTGCAGTTCGGCGCTGCCACCCCCGTCAATTGCGCAAGGTTGGCAGCACAGACAGCTGCTTGCAAAAAAGCCAATTGTGTAAAATTTTCGCAACTCACGCTCTTCATGGCACGCTACAATGCTATCCAGATCATCAAAGTGGTAATAATCGTAACCGGAGGTGCCCAGCACCTCGAACGGCATGTAGCCAATGATCGGCGGCGCCCGGTGATCGAGGAACAGGAACTTCCACTCCATGCTGTGCTTCGAGGTAAATTCATTGCTTGTGGGATCAATAATGCTCATTTCGCGGATCAATTGGGGGTTCTGGACACGCCCGGTGCCCACGAAAACCAGCTTCTTGTCCACCTCGGCATTGGGGTTCTGCTGGAAGATGCGCGGCAGGACTGCGGGCAGTCCGTTCCCACCTGCGCCGTTGGAGCCATCAAAACTGGAGCCGCCGACATGTTTGCATCATTACCTGTGTGTACACATAGGATGAGATCAAAGGACATGCATGAGAGGAGTTGGCTTTGAATGGCTGCTCGGCTACCTACGAAAGTAACCCACAAATTTGACCAGCTCGTAGGCATTGGCATCCACCTTCTCCATCCCCCCGCGCCGCAGGTGCGTGTAAAATGTGATCTGATTGCTGGAACTGATGTCCGTCTGCCGCGGCTCGATCACAGGTGTGGGATTCATGAAGATATTCAACAGCGCCTCGTGGTCCATCTCGTAAGCCAGATCGTAGATGGTCATATTGTACAGATCGTGCTGCAACGAAGGTAAATATGCAATAAGCCTTTACAAATATAACTCAGAAAGTTTAAATAAGTGTCGGCTAGGTAAAGTTTTAGAGTTAAAGGTCTAGTTATATGATTTACTAACCGGCAGATATCCCAGCTGAGAGGTAATACTTTCCGAGGCATAGAAAATGGAGCCCATGCTACTAAAGACCATCATGAAACCATCCAAGGACTCGAGCATCAAATGTGTGAATTCATCGTTGCTCAGAAACGCCGGCTTCCAGTCTTGTTGTATCTCAAAAACCTTGGAGCGGTCCGTGGCCTCTGTTTAAGTAAGTGTTTAAGATTGATCCCATATATAGGCAAGTTTAACCCACCATTGTGGTTCTTTAGGAAGGCAATTGTGGACTTGAGGACCGTTGATTTGTCCATTTTTCTGCTAGAGGTCGATATAAGGGCACTCAGATCGTTGACCAATGAGTTGAACTGATCCCGCCGCTTCTTCTCGCTCAGATTGCGGGATTTTCTGCAAAGGAAACTACGAGTTAAACAATAATCAATGGGATGCATTTACGATTAGCAACATTTAACAATCACTACTCAGGTGAGTAGCTTATAAAATTCATTCTTTGCAACCCCCTAAGGCAAGTCGTTTGTGACCCACGTGTGCCCGGCCCATTCAGGCATTGTCTGGCGTTGATTAGCCACATATGCCCATATGCTATCACCAGCCCTGATTTGTCCCGAGATTTCGATGGGGGATGAGCGCTTGTATGCCCTTTGTCGCTTTACATTTGCTGCGCTAGAGTTAACTTTTTCTGCTCTGCCATTGACATTTGCATGTCAGAAAAACTGGTTGATGATTGGAGGAGTTTTAGGATTATCGTTACTGTCAGTTTTCATTGAGTATGATACGCTAGTTCATGGCCAGTAATACATACGTGTAAGGGTTTATACATGTCTTCAAAGTTAATTGAGGGGCAATGAGTTGGAAGTTTATTTTAGTTGAGACTACTTGATAAAAGAAAATTAACGATTGCTTTGGATAATTTTTGTTAAATAGGGAATTCATTGTATAAAATAGAATTTCTTCTTCTGAAGCTTTTTATTCTTTGATTTTCATTGACTTTTCAAAAATCTAACAAATTATTGTCATATCTAAGCTTTTGTCTAAATGTGTATGCAACAGATAATTATGGATAAATTATAAAGAATGTATATACATACTTTAAAATTCTACAAACATGTATTGATTATGTATGTGGTAAATTCTTTAGGGTTTGGTGGTCCTTCTAACTTTAATCGATATGTAATATATTTTGTTTTGAAAGTCGGTTAATTTTTGCTTATACAACAAAATGCAGTTTCACTTTGTGTATTTAGTAATATAATTTTTACAATTATAATTTGAACTTTCATTACAGTTTTTTTCTAATTGCTTGTATTTCTGTGAAAATATTCACTGCAATCAAACCGATTTTGTTGAGTTTTGTTTGGCATTAAATTAAATTTCCTCTATAAGAGTCCTTTAAATGAAAGTTAAAATAAATATAATTAATTATAAACTATGAGTATTCTTAGGAAGACAATGACAAGATTATTTTAAAGGTTTATGATGCAATGGAAGCTAAGCAATTAAGACAATAGTACCCTTATTTGTATTTTGTAGGTTTTATAGTATTCCTTCACCTCCGATTACTGGAAGTTAGGGTCATGGTATGTTATGCCTTATAAACTCTCTAGAAACTTTAAAGTTACATTGATTTCTGAATATTTTGTTGCCACGCCAAGGCTGTGTCAACGATCTCTGATCTAACTCTAAGCATTCCTAATTGAAAATAGAATTTTCTCACCCATATCCATACTCGATTAGTGATTTGTTATATCAATTGTAAATTGATACCCGCCAAGGAAGCTTCAGCAGACACCTTCTGGTATTGTGTAATGTCGAGTAAATGTAATTAATAAAGAGGCATACAATTACAACTGATTGAAGTTGACCGCAGGACAAACGGATCAACGAATTGAGTTACAACTATTGGGACTCCATTGATTGATTTGTGGGGTGTGAATTACCAAAATGGTCTGAGGGGGCGGGCTACCACCTGAGAGACTGTGACGGCAGCAGCGCCAGGGTCTTAGTCTTAGTCATTCATGAAAAAATAATAAACAAAGAATGGGGACATTCCACCTTCGGTTAGCGGAAAATTTCACAAAATGCCATATACATGTATTCTCCTCTCCGATTCTGTATCTTGTCAACTGTCAGTCGCAGGCTGTCCACGGATTTGTGCTATCTATTTATGAATAGCCAAGGATTTCAGGTGTATGGGTTTTGCTTAGTGTGTAGTGAACTTACCTTTTCGTATCGTCCTTGTCATCGCTTTCGTCGTCCATTTTCGTATCTGTCGGATAATCCACTTCAAACCGCACGAATATTTTCGAAAAATCACAAAAAAAAATTATAAAGAACAAGGAAGAAACCGAAGAAAGTTCGAAACTTTCAAACTCCTTTTGAAGACTCTCTTGCTCAGACAACTGCCACAAAAATTGATTTACACGCTCACATAGTTTGGTTCATATGTTTCTGGATCTTTCTGGTTAAAGTTCAGGTAATGTTCACGCAACAATTGATTTCCATATGCTCAATATGCCACATTTTGAAGGCCTGCAAAGGGCAAAGGGTTGGAGAACACAATTATATATATATTTTTTTATTTCATTTCGTATTATTTCGGTGAATATTATTTTCTTTGTAATATATTTTTTCCCCGACGCGTTTTTCACGAAACTCGTTTGTCTCACGCCGCGCTCTGTCAGCAACAAGTGCAGTTGTGGTTCTGTTTCGGCTTTCCTGCCCGCTGTCTGCTTCGAGCAGCATCCTTTCGAATCCGTGGTCCAGGCATTATGTAATCCCATAAGCTGCGCCTGCGCAGGCTACACGGATGGAGGCCCCGTGGCCAATTTGCCAGTTTGGTCGTGCCAATCAATGTTGCACATTTGCAACCCCTGAAATGTATGCTACGCTATTTTGTCATGTTACAAAATGCGTTCAGCGAATGCCATAACAACCAGTCCCCGGTGGTTGGAGTGGGCACAAGGGTGTGCTCGGAAGGATTGTGGTGGATGGGGGATGGGGATGGGGATGAGGGTATGGGTGGGTAAGTGCCGAGAAGAGCTTGTGGAGCAGCTGCTAACCAATTGCCTGGCTGCAGCCGGCCTTTGTCGGCTATAAATAAGCTGCCATGCACGCGCTCGGTAGCTCGCTCACCTATTGCATAATTCTGTGAGAATATTTTTATTTAAATTGCGACTGTGACTCACATCTCAAACACCTTCTGGTATTTCTACTAATTTTCTTTCACACCCACAAAATTTTGATTCCCTGTTAATTGACGGCGACAACATTTAAGGGGCTTCGGCGAAAAGCAATTTCTTGGCTAACAAAAACTTGAAAACTTTTGAGTAAATGTCAAAAGGGGTTTTGCAAGCCTGTTAAATGCATTTTTCCCCCATGGAATGAGTTTGGAAAACTTTATGCCCAGAAACCGGAATGACGTTGGTATTGGAAAGCATTTTAAAGCTAAAGCTAAAGTCGGGCGAAAAATCAGCGTTTAATTAAAATGTGCAAAGCAGCTTAAAATTACAGCAGCTTTCCATATGTGCCGTGGTATTTGTAATTAATCCGTTTAGCCTCCGTTTGACCATTTGAGAGCCTCATAATTTCCCACATGTATACAAGAGTATTTTAAATACACATCAAAGGTAAACTCCCATTACTCCCTGGGCCAAGTGTTGTTCTGCTGGTTAACCGTAAGTAGCTGTTGGTTGGCCCAAACCCAGCAGAACCCAGACTTGACTTGGCTTGAAATGTTGCCAGATAATTGCCAATGACTAGCTTAATGGCTCGTGTTGCAATTAGTGCGGTCGGTTTGGTCTGTCGCAGAGTGCAAAAAAAATATATATAAAGAACATGGAAAAGGGTTCAAATAGAGACATATAGAGACGGTGTCAGGTGTTATTATTGAAGCGTTTAGTTTTACCCCAGAGAATGTGAACTAATTGCTATTTTGCTAACTCAATTACAAACTGTGAAATTATTGGGTCACAGACATTCAACTTTGGATTCAATCGAAGCCATTAAATACAATGTTAATTCAAGAGAAACTGCTACATCGCCTATACAAATAATATCTACCTTTTAAAGCTACTATCAAAAATCAATTATGACAAGATCTTGATAAGTTGAAGCTTGTTTAGTTGAGTTTATAAACCATAAATCACTTTCTAAAGAGAATGCATAAAATCTTTGCTTAATTGAATTGTATTTAATTTATGGAGTGATCTTTAAGTTATTAAGTGATTTAAAGTAGAAGAACAAACATCATGGTTTAATTGTTCTTGAGTTTGTTTAATGCTGAAGTCTCATTTTGGAAAGGAGAATGTTACTGGTATCGAAAAATATATGCAAATTGTTTTTAACCTTTGTTTTATTGCATTTTATAATCTAATTTGTATGAACTGTTAATTTATTTCGACTATGCAACGTAGCTATTGTTCTTTTATTTAAAATGATTATATTTTTATTATTTAATGCAAAGCAAACCTGTTTTAATAGTTATCTGATTAATAGGACAATTTAAATATACTTTGCATAGTTTACATTGTTCTCTGTTTATTTATTTATGTGACAATTACAATTTGTTTATTTAATTAACTGAATATGCTTTCCAGACTTATTTATTTGATTATTAGCTGTTTCTACACTTTAAAAAAACTACGTACGAAATAAATTAAACAATTAGAGGATTAATATTCTTATTTAAGTTATAAAAAGTCTTTAACCAACTACTATTGCCTTTTAGTAATTTCTTCTATTCTTCTATATAGCATCATTTATTATAATAAATCTAAACTGAAAACTTTAATACAATTAATATATTTCCCTTATTATTAGATACTTGGCAAGGGTAAAATTATAGTTTATTTTGTGTAAAATGCCAAACTAATATTACTATTAATATATAATATTAATATTTATATATAAAATATAAAGATATACAAATAGATACATCGATTGATAATTAGTACATTCTTTTTTATGACTATTTCCCCATTTCTTCTTAATCTTCTCCCCTAAAATATAAAAATACTAAAAATTTATAATACAACCCCCTAATTAATTGCAGATATCGCACTCCTCCCTCCCCTTACAATCAAACAGATTAAACATTTGGCATTGACAACAACGTTTGTTGTTTTTCTTGCTCATGAATTTATGGCATATATTTATAAGTATTTGCAATGCGGAAGCCAATAAGTTGGAAATAAAAACATGCATGTGAGCATACACATAAATAAATAAAAAGCACGGAAAGCCGGTTGGAGTGCACTTGGTCGTCAGAGTAATGGCAAGTTTACTCAACCCGTCCCGAAGATCGTTGACTGACCTACTCACGAGCGTAAAAAGAGCGCGGAGAGAGAAGATATAGTTACTATATCTATTGCCCTCTCTATTTGCCAGCACTATCCCCATCCCACTCTCCCGCTCTAAAAGGGGGGAAACTAACGTCATTTGATTGCATTTGTAAAGCTTCGCTCAGTTACAAAATAGAAAAAAAAAATATTATCGCATACTGTTGATGTGTGTGTCACACATACATGCACACTTGGTTGCATCTTCCTCTCTCTGTCGCTCTCTCTCTCTCTCTGTGTGTGTGTGTGTGTGTCTCTTGATTTCTTTGTCAGTGAACTTGAGCTTTTGCCAATGCTAATTGCATTGCGATTACAGCATAGTGTCTGTGTGTGAGTGATAATACTCATACGACCCGTTGTACTGCATACTGTGTGTGTGTGTGAGTGATAATACGAGAATACTCATACGACCCGTTGTACAGCTTTTTTTTGTTTTTCTTCTATTCCTCTTGGTTCCGCAAAGCTTGTAATATTTTTTGTCTCTCTCCTCCGCTTGTGTTGTTTTAAACTTGACTTAATTGAATTTTTGCACAATTTTTTCCCTGTATTTTGTTGTTATTTTTATCATTCATTGATTTATTTTCTTTGCGTTCGTTCGCCCCTTTTTCACTCACTTTTCTAGTTGAAATTCCTAAACTAAGTATAGTTTTAAGCAGTTTAGACGGTTTATAGGGTTAAAGGCCCCTTTGGATTTAACCGGTTATTTGCAATTTTATTCTATATTTATAAATGGGTTAATGAGAGGGCTTTGGAAAAGCGGATCTGGAAAGATGTAATCCATCTAATAATAAATCTATCGCTGAGTTGAGCACTTGATCATGAATAGCACGCCTGCTCATCATCTTTTCCTCACATCACATCATCTTGCAATCCATTTTTATTATAACTTGGACTTTATTAAACATATATCCCTTAAATCTTAGTTCTTAAGTATTAAATCACTAAATTGTTAAAGACTTAACAGTATTTAGAAATCCAGCAAGAGTGGGTTTTAGGGAATTTACAAAACCCTGAGACTTGAGTGTAATTTAAGTAATTTTAAGAGGAATTTTTGTATTTAAACTGGGAAAATGTAGAAATAAATTTAATGACTTGGGAATAGCCTTATTTACTGAAATATATAGTCCCTAAAACACTTCAATTCCACACTAAATAATTTCAGCCAGAAGCTTTCTTTAACTTATCTTTCTTTGTTTTCAACTAGCTAAATTTTCGCAAAAAAAAATAACTAAAAGCAAAATTGTTAACAGAAAACAAAAAATACTCCTGACTACATGGGGCAGTTGTCAATCAGTTGCTTATCTCACCGTATCAACAAGCAGCTATTTGCTCAAAAACGAAAATGAAGTAGACGCAGCGAAAAACGCCTAGAAAGTGCACCCAAATGCCAAGTAATTTAATTACATTTCGTAATTGTGTCACATTTTTAGGGCCTACATATTTGTATCTGAGAAGTTCGAAACGAATCTCACTAGCTGGTAAAATGCTTGCAAACCCTTTTGCCTGTGTGTTTATAGTTTTTTAGTTGGTTGTCAATTGAAATAACTTTTACTGTGAGCTAAGAGCGTGTGTGCGGACACCGCATGATCACCACCACACAACCGCACGAAATGCACACGCGCACTAACACACACCTAGGCACACTCCCGCACACACACCACAACGGACAGGCACAAACACACAGATACTCCAGCCGAGTCAAACGCTGACGATGACGTTTAAAAAAAAAAAAAAAAAAAAAAATCAAAAGACGCCAGATCCGAGACCCGAGACTTGTCAGCCAACAATAAAAAAATACAACAAATACGACAATAAAAAATTAAAATAAAACAAATGAAAAGTCAAGTCTGGCGACTGGGAAAATACCTAGCTAATAGCTATTTCCCTGAAAATACTTCAATCATAAGAAATCGAGGCAATTGGGATTATTGAATATAAGTACAGTGAAACTGGAAATATTAAAATGGGGAACTAAGAACATGTAAATTTCAATTTTTATTTAACTTGTTTTCTATTAAAAACAGGCAAAGGAATACTTTAAACCTTTTAAATTCTGAAACTAACATTTAATATTAAAGGGGAATAATTTGAATCAAGAATTCAAAATTGTAATTAATACAAACTATATTTAATGCTGTAAACCCTTAGAACTCTTTCAACGAATTAAGGATATATCCCAAAATCCTATAGTTTTTTTGTATTACAACCTTCCGTCTCTAAACTTATTACCACAAACTTGTCTACATAACATTAAAATGTTTCATTATTAGTTATTTACTCAATAAACCCATTCAGGTATATATAGCAACACAGTATCCGATCAGATTCACATGCACTGCAACCTGGTAATATCAAACTCAAACACTATATACCCATTTCTAGTATATTGGATATAAAAGCCGACTTTGACAATGAAAAAATGCAACAACACGACTGCAGCAAACAGAATGCACAAACAAATAACTATTTCTATATACAAATGTACACTTTATAATAATATATTTAAGGTATTGTCAAAAGCCTAACGAAAGACGTTGGGGGAAAAGTCTCTCTCTCTGGCAGATAATTTGTTGTAATTTTTAGTTGAATGCACTTTAGTTTTTAGTGGGAATTCAAACCTCCTCCGTTTGGTATATATTGCCTTATCTCTTTATCTTTTCATAATAGATTTTTAGTGACTGCAGTTGTTTGTTTCATTGCACTTTTATTTCCTTTTATTTTCACTTCACTTTTAGGTAGCACACACTTAATAATTTAGTTGCAGCTGAACTTGAGCTTTGCTTTTGGAAATTGCATTTAATATGGGCAATTTTTAGTTAAATTGATTTAGGTATTTTGTATTTAGCTTGTTAACACTTCAATAATTAATTTTTATTGGCGTTTGTATAATATTTTATGTTATTTCACTCTTGTTATGCTATTTTTCTCACTTTTATTTGATTTGTAAAGAACGCTCTTTAATTAATTCCATATATTCCTCTTCAATGGCTCATTCACTTCTGTTTCTTCAACTTTTCATTTTATTTCTCTAAGAATTATTTCATATTTATGCCTTTTATTATTGCTCGTGTGTGTGTGTAAATTGCTTTTAAAGATTACATAACATAACTTTTTCCGTTTGCTTTGCTCATTTTTATTTTTTTCGCCGGTTGCTGCTTTTCAGTTGGTCACATATATATTAAAACAAAAGCTCCAATAACAAAAATAAAATAAAAAATAAATATTTTTTGTTTTCTGCAAACGTCTTAATTCATTGTCACCGAAAGGTACACAAAATTGCCATAGTTTTCGGGCAATATCAGCACAAAAACACGGAAAATTCTGAAGAAGCGCGAAGCAGGGGAAAGACAACAAAAACTCGAAATCAAAACCGAAACAGAACCAAAATTATAAAGTAGATCATTTCGAACGCGTGTAAATTGTGATCAAATTACACTGGGAGACAATATTTTTTGACGACAGACGGCTTGACTTTACGTCAGATCGAGATCGAGAATTTACAAGTAATATGAAAGAATTACTACTGCGCGCGAAATCCGAAAGATACGTATAAACCGAAGCCCGATCGGAAAGCGACTATATATATGTATATATATATATATATTTGTGGAGGGAAGAGAGAGATCCGCTCGTCGACGCTGCGCGTGCTGGACTCAAACTGAATAAATGCACGAGAAGTGCATTTTCTAAGCTCGCAAAATAAAGGCCCGTGGATAAACGTAAATGGAAACGGCGAAATGCAGCGAAATGCGAGCGGGAATCCAGAAAGCGTTCTCACAGACACAGCGATAAAACTGGGACGCCGGAGAGTGAGACTATAGCCAAGACACTGTCTCGATGCCTTTGACTCTGACTGTGACTGTGCCGGTTCGGGGCGTATACGCGATATGTGTGCACATTCCGAGTGAGTGTTACCTGGCAGACTGATTGAGCTTGGAACGAACCCTCAGCTATTATTTAATATGTTGCTGCAGTGTCGGAGTGGATTCCCCAGAACTCAGAATCCACTCAATTGCAACCGATCGCGAATCTATACTGAGTCGAGTCTTTATCTTTGCGGCTCTCGGCGGACTCTATCAAACTATCAGTTGCTAGCTTCGCTCATTTTTCCTCTCCTCGAGCTGCTAGTATAATGTTTTTTTCTATAGTTTTTCATGCCTTCCACCTTTCTGTTTGTTGTCCGATATTCCGGGTATCTCTGGGCGCAAAAAATTCTGGTATTTCGTCTGGAGATTACAGATATAAGGGTCTCTCGGTGTTTCGATCTCTCTTCAGCCCGGCAAAGGGAGCTCTGAGTCAAAGGGGTTTTGTTTGCTTCGATTTAAGTTCAAGGTCTGGCCTAAGGCTTGAAATGTGTGGCTTTTAGTAGGGAGGATTCCTTGGCATTTTGTAAATGAAGGTAATGAAATATTTCTCTGAAAATTTTATTATAAACAATCTAAAATAAGTTTAGGGTTTACATATATAGAAAATGTCTCAACTAGTGTAAGGAAATACCCTCCTTTTTGCGAATATTTTGATAACTCTGAACTATAAAAACTTAAATCGAATCGGGAACAATAAGGTTTCTCTGGGTATATTGGATTTCTGCAACATCTGCACTTGTCAGAACGAAATCATTCTAAACACCTTAGAAAACACTTATCAAAAGTATTAAAGTATATGTTATAAAAAGAATTATAAATATAACATTTATGAACCTATATGCAACCAAAATCGTCCTAAGAAAGATGTACTGCACTAAATATTGTTGAATTCGACTTTTCGAAAATGTTTTCTAAAAGCTGGTGTTGCGCAACATGTTCATAGCAACATATGTTTTAATCTTTTTGTCAACATTTTCCTTTGCCTTTCGACCTGTTTAATTTAAGTTATTCATAAATACAAGCATAATTAAATAAGGTAAATTAGCTTTGCTACTTGTCTTATATTAAATATAGGGTTTTATAAATAATTTTATAAATATAGCTCTATTGATTTACTAGTCATTGGAAAGATTGTTAGATGACGAAGAAAATGCAAAACTGGGAGAGTAACATTTCGCCGTATAATAATAAAATATTGTTGTGGCAGAGAATAGCTTTCTCTCTCTCCTCCTCTCTATCTCAGACTCGCCTTCTCTCTCTCTCTCTCTCTATCTCAGACTCTTCTTCTTCTTCTCTCTCTCTCTCTCTCTCTCTCGCTTTCTCTTTTCGGTAGAGACATCTCTAACTCTCTATCTCTCTCCCCATCTCAAGCAGAACTCCTCTCTCGCTCTCACTTTCTCTGTTCTCTTTACTCGGAGACTATAAATACAGGGACTGAAGCCGCGCTTGCCTCATTCTGGTCGCGGTCTTCCCGCTGGTTACATCTCTGGTGATGGTGATAGTGATTGCCCTTCGACCCCAAATGTATCACCTGAGCAATGAAATATATCTGGATAGCCAGGAAGAAACTGGAAGAGTATATAAAATTCAACTTTTTGAAGATAGTATGCTTCCTTCTTGAACTGTGATTTGTCTCAAAAGTTGTCATTAAAATACCAATAAATATCTACTTAAAGAATTTAAACATTTTAAGCCTAGTATGATCGATTACCAATTCGATCCTATAATTTATTTGCAATGTGTAAGGTATATAAAGTTCGGCTTGCCAAAGTTTGTTTCCCTCTTGTTTTATTAAAAATGTTAAATTGCTATAGTAACCAGAGAGTATTCTTAATAAGCCCTGACGATTAATTTTTTATTTATTTAAATTGTCGATCTGCAACCTATCTATGATCGATTAAACTTGCAATAATTATACAACTATTAAAAGTAATTAATGCTACTGAATATTTAAATTTATTGACATTTGTCATTGTCCGATATATATGTTCTTTATGGTGATATTAAGTTTTCCTCAGCTTTTCCAGGGGACTAGCTCGTCGTTCCCTAGATCTTTGTAGTTATCCGTTCATTTATACTTTGCTTACGCAAATTCCCGCTATGAATATTTCATAAGTATAAAGATTTCAGCTCCAGACATGTCTGAGATGCATATGTTTCTACAACCAACAACAACTGCAACTGGCCATGGTCTCTGCTCCATAAGAATTCCACAACTGGATTCAGATCCAAACTCGGGTATATAACTTCTCTTGGGAGCATATCAACTAATCAATTCCGATTCTTATTCCATAGTTGCCAAATCGCGAACCGTCGCTTGCACTAGAAATTTGGTATTTATCAGATGCTTACGTAACAATCGAGCGCACTATTTGCAATTTACAAGTTTTGCTCGATTTGATTTGAAAGTTTTATCGGTTTATGCAACGCACAATATACATATATATGCATTTATTCACAGATGCAGTGGTGCAGTTGCATGTATTTTTGGATCAAGCCTAAAACTAAATTTCTGAAAAGAAATCGTTTGGTAAAATGTTGAGAATTTCCTTAAACTTCCCTCCATCATTTCATAATGATACCTCATCCGAGGTAATAGTAAAAACAAAAGTTGCATTTATTTTATATTTCAATTTGTTTTCCTCTTTATTTTACATCATTATTAAATTAAGAAGTACCAGTAAAAAATCGTTTTAGCACAAAAAACACAGAGAAAAGATGTTTTGCTGATTTTATCGTAAGCATTTAGAAATTTGTTTGAAATATATATATATATTGTTTTTATATAGATTTACAATAATAATTTATCCATATAAAGTAGACACAAAAAAATGATGTCGATTTTGGGTGTTGTTTCATATTTGTTTAGTTGCTAAACTTAAATGTAAAATGATTTAATTTAGGTGTACGTGTATATATAAGTTGTATAAAATTATATAAATATTTACTTGACAAACTCTTGATTTATTTAATTTAATTAATTAATCATTTTGTGTTGAGCTGAAAAATTAAATTCGTGATCTATAGCTAACGTAGAAGATACATACATACATACATATATAGAGCTTTAAGATTATCAGATAAAAGATATTTACAAAGATAAGGATGTGCCGACTGATAAAGCAAATTGTTGTTTTTAAAATTGATTTGCTTTACAAGGGAGAGCTTGAAAGTTGAGGAAAATATAAACGAAATGAGCGTGAGAGGCTTAGAAGTAGAAATCAAAAGACGAGGCAAATGTAGCTAATGGATTCAAAGATATATATCAAAGTTATAGCTCTTCAATAGGAATGCGGGCTGAAGATACAGATACGAATACAGAAACAAGCGTTTTAGCATATAGAATCGTATATATATATAGGTATATATAGGTGAGCATATTATTATTCAGCCTTAGCATAATCAAGAGAGAGTAAAGGGGGCGTGGTGGTTATAGAGAGTGTGTGTTTTGGGTTAATCAACAGAAAAGCAATTTGAAAATTTATTACACATTTGTTCTCCTATTATTATTATTCACTTCCTTCATAACTAGTCGCTAGTTCAGTTTTACCTATTTTAACTTCTTGTATATAGAGTTTATAGTTTATAGTTTTAGTTTAGTTTCGTTTAGGTATATCAAAAAAATATTGCAGATTGTCTTAGAGTTCCAGCCGCTTTATACAAAGTAAATGAAGAGAAGTTCAAGTTTTTGTAAGAGTTTTGTTTCCTATGCTCTTTCCTATCCGACTTTTAGTTTTTTACTAGGTGTATGTTTGTTGGCCTTTTGAATTGGTATTTTGTTTGTTATTTAATTTTAAAATTGTTTTTATGTTCAAAAATTTGTGTATTTGTTTTGCTTTGTTGTTTTGTAGAAACCATGAGTTCTGTTTTGTTAAAGTTGAGTTTACATCCTTTTCCCTTGCTCCTTTCGCTATGGCAAACATATATATATTCAAGACTTTGTGGAATGTGGTTTTTATAGTTAAAGTTGTCCTGGGAAATTAGTTTGATTTGGTTTCTTGGTGATACGGGGTTTGAGCCAAAAGCAAATGGTTTTTTGATTGTTTCACTGGGGGGTAGAGGGGAGATGTCGTATCATTAAATATTCATATTCTCCGGTTTCGCTCTCTAATTTACTTTACACTTTACATCATAAACATACACACACATACACAGGGTTATCGGCTAGAGCTAAAGATTATGTTGTTGCTGATCTAGTGATAATTTTGGTTCTGCTAAAGTTGCTCGCTTTCGGTTTTGGCCCCTAGGATTAACATGTAACGTTCGATTACAAACGAAATGGCTTAGACACAGAATTTACAAGATGTATATATATGGTTCCGATTTCTAATTAATGTGTATCTCTCATATATATTCTAGAGGAGCAACTCCTCATCCGTATGCGGCTCGGATCCATTGTTCTCCGCAAACAGGCAGCACTCATCGGCCCCAGATGAGGCCGTTTCCTGCTCCTCGCAGTCGAGATCGAGGTGGTGGTGTGCCTGCTGCGGCGATTGAGGCGCCTGCTGATGATGCGTCGGCTGCTGCGGATGCCTGAGATCGTGCAGCCAGTCCAGAGTCTTGTCAATGGCACGCAGACGCTTCTCCAGCGAGGTAGTGGCCAATATATCCACCTGGTATGGTAAATATATATTAATTGAGTAAGAAATCACATGAACTAACTTCCATTTACTCACCTTTAGTTGCTGAGATAGAGGCAGCAGGGCAATGACCCACCAGGCCCACGCTGGCCCATCGCTAATCAGCTCCCAGTTGGGCTCCAGTGGCGGCATCTGGCCATAGCTCTGCAGGATCTCGTGTTTTTGCTCCGTACTAAGGCTCTCGAACCAGCCGCTAGCCTTGGCCAAGACCACTCCTTGCATTCCAGCCAGGATCTTAACCTGCTCCTCGGCAATGGGCTCGTCGCAGATGTACTCCACTTTGGCCGTCTCATAGCCATCCTTCTCGTTGCGTGCCAATATCTTGAAGCGCTTGCAGCCAATGGTACTCAGAATAGAGCAGCCATCGCCTAGCTGGACACAGTCACGGATGTCAAGGATAGTGCCCACATCATAGTAACGTGATTTGCTGCTATTTGGCTGAACAATGCCAAAGGTCTTGTCACCAGACTCCACAGCTCGCCGCACCATCAACCGATAGCGGGGTTCGCATACAAACAGCGGACATGGCACTGCCGGAAAGGCTGTGGTGCAGATGAATACCGGAACGGAGGGCTCCTGGTCGATCTCCTGACGAAAACGCGCCTCGTAGTGGTCTGGAATGAATCGTTTCATTGCGGCTTCTAGGAACTTCGTCACTGGCCGCTTGGCCAGCGCGAAAGGAACTGGCGAGGATGAGCCCGGATGCAGGTGGATCTGATTCTGATTCTGACTGGCACTGGCACTGGCACTGGCATTGACATTGAATTCCACAAGTGGTGACATGCACAATGGACACGGGGAGTTGTAATCCATGCAACGATCCAAGCATACCAGGCAGTACGTGTGTCCGCACGGGGTAACCACCGGCTTCCACAGTGTCCGGCAGCACACCACGCAGTCAAAGTCACTGGCATCGATCAGTTGCCCGGCCACCGCACTCACTGCCAGCGATGGACCCGATCCATCTAGTTCTGTAAGTGAAGGGATTGAAGAGATACATTAGTTAAAGATTCTCATTATTTATATTTACAGTTTACTCACTTCTCAGTCGCTGCAGCTCTTGCTGCGTGCGTTCCAGGACACCGGCGAACAGGCGGCTGCACCGCTGGCTTCCTCCTCCAACTACCTCAGTCTGATCCACATTCTCCTCTTCCTCCGCAACGCGACCGCTTAGTGGTCCCATGGCCGCAGACCATTTCCGCTTGCAGTGCTTCCGGTTTGCATGGCGACGTGGCTGCAAATCGAATTGCTTTTGCTCAAAGACATGCCGCTGATGGCGATGGTGATCCATAAAGTCCAGAGCACTGGGAAACAGAAAGTCACCGTCCAAATGCAGAGAACCCGGCTCACCGCCATCCACCTCCACTTCTACCTCATCCTCCATATCGTCGCCGGCCATTATGTAGTTATCGTAATGACCAAACTCATCCTCCACATCGTCCAGATGGACGTGATGATGATGATGATGGAGGTGATGATGATGGTGATGGTGCTGCTGTTTCCTCCGTCTCGTCACCTGCTCCCACAAAAGAGGATACGGTTGCCGTGAGCTGGCATAGCTACGGTGCTGCTGCTGGACACCAGGATGCGCTGCAGCGGTGACCGAGCATCGAGTCTTGGGCATTTGGGCCAGGAGACGTTGGAGAATCTAGGGAAAGCAAAGCAGAAAGCAAGTGTGAGTTTAATATAGTAAAAACTTATATTTGGTTAATAATCTTATTATATTTATTAATTTCAGGAGATGCCTTGCTAAAATGTATAACAAATTAAGGAAAAGAAAACTCTGGTAAGTGGATTTAAAATTTCCCTATCTTAGTTTGGTATTTAAGTATTATGTATACAAAGTCAAATGCTTTCTCCTTTGAACATATTTTTAACGATGTCTAGACTACAAAAATCTACCAAAAGTGCAGCAGATTTAAAATGCATTAAGTTTGCTTAGAACTAGCAATAAATTTCATATATTTTTGTTTATACCTTGGCGAGATCATGTTGAAATATTTCCGAGTTGCTGAGATTTGTATTCTTATCAAGGCAAATGGCCAAAAAACCGTTGTACAAAGCCTCCTCCAGTCGACCCAAACCGCTCAAGGCCAAAGCCCTCAAATAGTGAGCCTGAAAATTAAATAACTTTATATAATATATAATTAAATTTATGTAAAAATAAAGCCTTACCTTGGGCGAAGTGCAGCGCGTTCTCAGCGCATTCTCAATATCCGCCAGAGAACTTTGATAGTGGCTCAGTTTGAGCAAGACTTCAGCACGCAGGCAGAGACTTTTGAAATTTGCAGGCGCTGGAAAAATATTTTAAAAAAAGCCAAAATTATAGTAAAATCTAAATGATTGTAAAAACTAATTAGAGTATTTAAATCAAGTGAATTCCCCCATAAATGTCAGATTCTGGCCAATTAAATTCTTAAAACTCAGTGGGGAGACATGGAAAATTGCTCGGCGTGCGGCCAAAGCAATTACGCCTGCCAATATTGCAGATGCAAAGATACAAAGATACAGATACAAATACAGATATATTAAATGTAACGATCTAGACGTGCAAACAGCATATATAAATGTATGTGGAAATAGATGGGAAATGTACAGCACGCGCGAATATTCGACAATTAGGCTCTTTACATGTCTTTTCCCCCTTTTTGACACTTTTCTTTTGAATATTTGTCCGTCAATGAGGACTGACGGACACAGATTTTGACAGCTGAGATCGTTAGCAGTGGCGCCAATTTCCCTTTTTAACGAAAATGCAATCAATTTTTATGGTTTTGTTTTTATAATTGATTAGAAAAAATGATACAATATTATTTTTATATACAAAACCTTTAAAAAAGATCAGATTGGTTAATAAGCAAAAATTTAGGGACAAGAATTTACATTTATTCAAATGAACTACATATTTTGAAACATTTTCTATTATTATAAATATAGATAAATACGTATGGAACTAAACAAATCATTTTTCTACTGAAACTTTAATAACAAATCTATTTATTCTTTGATATAAACATTAACTAACCAATTAGTTGTTAAAAATATTACGATGCGTACTAATAGGAAAGCTGAGGTTTTTCTTATAATTCAGTGATTCATAAGTATTATAACTGAAAGAGCTAATTAACGATAAGAAAACTAACAATATAAGTCATAAAATAATTTAAACAAACAGTATTTTTAATTAATATCTAAAATAACCCAAAACAAACCAAATAATAAAGTATTTATTATTTTATTTAAGGGGTAGACCACCCTGAACGCATGAAATTTGGAGGGTTTTTCAAAAATTCATTTTGACTAAGTTATTGGGAATACAACTTTTTATTTATTAGTTCATCAAAGTACATAAAAAATACTTATTGAAAGAAAAAAAAATATTTACGAACCTCGGAGATATAGCCAGTCAAAAAACGAATTTTTTTAGGGAATGGTCGGATGGTGTACATGCTGCACACCACATTTGTTATCCGAAATTCAAAAACAAAAATTTTTTATAAGCTATATAAGTATGGCTATAGCATGACGTAGCCGTTTTTGGAAATAATTTTTTTGAGCAAATGGGAGCACTTTGAAAAAAAAAATTGTTTTTTTAACAAAATTTTTGATTTAAAAATTTATAACTTTAAAACAAAAAAACATATCGAAAAAATCCTACGTCATGCCATAGAGGGCATTATAGAGAAGCTGTGTAAAAATTTGAAGAGAATCGGTCCGGCGGTTTTTGAGAAATCATGTACACCGTTTTAAAAAACGTTGTTTTGAGAAAAACGCAAAAGAAGATAAAGAAAGTACTCTACGGTATACCGGCAGCGCTCACTTCTAATGGCTGTAGAATCCACAAGTAACGAGATATTTTTAAGCCCGATGTCTTAAAATGACCGTAAGAATATCAGCATCAAGATTGATTAAAAAAAAAAAATTACATTTTAAAAAATGTCAGGGTGGTCTACCCCTTAAGTATTCATTATAAATACAGTTTGTTGTAATAATTGTATGACCTATTTTGAATATCATTTAATTTCTTTACTAAAATTAACCCTCATTCTTTTGATTTTCTCAACAGGTTAGCTTCCCCGCCAAGTGATTAAAAAAGTGATGAAAAAGTGAAAAGTGTGTGTGCTAAAAAAATAGCTTACTAATGCTCGACCGGCGAATAAACTTCGACCATCGATAAATGCAGGGTGAAAGTGAAATAAAAATCAAGGTAAGTTAGAACAGAAAGTCATTGCAGTGCCTAGGTCATGCACTTCCCTTCACCACCCCCTTCCCCTGCTCCGCAACTCGCGAACAACCCTCACTACGTCACGTAGGCCACTTGTAGACAATGTTGCCAAGATAGCTAGCAACATGCGATATTGCAACATGTTAAGAGAACTTAAGAGTATTTAACAGGGGTTAGCACTGTTAGGAACAGAGAGAAAATCTCTTTCAATCTCTTACGCAGCCTTACTCTTAACCTGTTAAGGCCAAAGAGCCAGTGAATATGTTAAAAAGACGCGCGCAGCTGCTGTTAAAACGCGATTATGTAGCCTAACATTACGCAACATAAAAAGGCGACAACAACAACAAATTGAGTGCGAAGGCCCTATAACAGTGTTGTTGTTGTAATTGCCTTGGCTCAGTTGTTGTTGTTGCTGTTGGTGTTGGTGTTATTGGTGTTGCTGCAATTGTTACACAAATTGTTGCAAAAATGATTACATGGACAAAAAAAAGGTAAAATAAAAACATATCAGCAGGCTGTCCAGTGCAAAAGAAAAGAGCTCATCACTTTGGCTTTTTTTTTTAAGATATTCATTTACATTTTAGCATTAATTTACATTTTTCCATAATAATCAGATTGGGTTTAATATACGTTTATTATGTAAAGTGTTGGTGAACTTTGTTCAAATAAGAAAAATTTAATTAAAATGTATTACAATTTGTATATATTTTATTACAAATAACTTCCAGATAAGGCAAGATTGTAATTATTATTTAAAAGTGTCTTAAATAATTCTTACTAGGCGAATTTAACTTATTTTATAATTTCAAAGAAAGGTAATTATTTGATGAACGTTCATAATGTAACGTAATATTTAAACTTTATTAGCTATATTTATTTTCCAAAATTTCCCAACATCTTATTATTGTTTATTTCATCTACATACAGCTTCTGCCTTTAAATTCATTTTATAATTTTCATTTTTAACAAGCTCGCATGTCATATTTTACTCCCTCTTTGAAATACTGATTATGCCACTGTCTTCTTAAATTTATTTCGTCATATCTCTCCTATATTTCTTCATTATTCTTTTCGCTTTTATTTAGTTGTTTATAGCAATCACTCCCAATTAAGTAGCAATATATATATTTGTGTTTACAACCAAATTACTAACTTTGATTATGTAAAAACGCTTGTCAATATTCCATGTTTACTTAGCTATGACTATAGCCTACATTTAGATTTGTTATTGTTTTGCGTGTCGAGTTCTAGTTCCGAAAATAAAATGCCACTGATATGGGGGGGCCTTTGTTTGCCAGATAAGAAAGGCCTATGGTATAGGGATTTGTGGCTAACCCGCGTTATGTGAATGAGAGAGTGGAGGTGCCAAAAGCATAACGACACTGATAACAGACAAAATGTTATTTAACTGTTTATTCTTTAAACGCCTTTGGAACTGTCTTCGTTCTTTGAGATGATAAGGGGTTTTCTTTTTTTTAACTTGTTTCTTTTTTTATAGTGGATTGGTGATATCTTAAAGTACGACTAAGAAATGGGTGAAAAATAGTTGGCAGAAATAAATAATAGCTGGAGATTTCTCTTTGGCTGTCTTATACCTCTAACGATATCTCAAGTATGTGTATTTTAGGTATATAAAATATATATTCTTATATGCTATTTTTTTTGGTATATCAAGGTTTTTTAAATATTATAACAAAGCCAAAAATACCGTACAAATCAAAAGCAGTCCTTCAACTATATTAAACAATGTTTAATAAGTTTATATAAGTTTTATATATCCATAAAGTAGATTTGTTTATTGTTTCTTCTCTTACATCTCCTTCAAATATTGAAAAAATGCATTTCCTTATTTTTCCTACATTTCAAGTAGACTTCTAAGTGCTTATTATCATCCACAAGTGCTTTAAAAAAGATTTCAAACATATCTAGTAGTAAAATATACTACATAATACATTTCTCAACTTTGTTGCAATATTATTCCGCCCATTTCAAATGAGGTTTCCCTGTTCATTATGCAATATGCTACGTTCTCTCGGTTACCCCAGAGTCTCCAGAGCTATATAAACTATATGTACTATGCATTGCATACTAATTATATTTATTTCTACATTATATCACCCTGAAGGCGGCCACCACGTTCTCGGTGACCAGCCATACTTCCCGTTCGATCTGTGACAGTATTTGTGAGTGTGTGCGAATGTATCTATATCCATCAGATACTTGTACGTACTGCCACTTACAACCGCAAGTAAAAATAACAAAAAAAAACCAATTCGAATTCAATTAAAAATGCAAAACCAAACGCTGATACCTACTGTCGTTGCCTTTGTTGTTTTTGCACCAATTTGCACTTATTAGAGAATTTTACGCTCTACGAACGCCCACTTTTTGTTTGTTTTGGACCCCGCCCCCTTGCCCTGATGAGTGAGATATATATGTATATATATATATATATGTAGATACAGATATAAAACATCTTCCACGCGGGGCCAAGTTTCCGTTACGCTGCAGACAATTTAAGCCCAACTGTTGATAAATTGCATTTGGCTTCAGATATGACTTTGCTCAGATGTGTCTGCAGTATATATATATTTTTTTTGCAGTACACAGGGAGAAAATTAACAGAAACACACAGAAATTGGGTAAGAAAATAAAGGAGAAAATGGGGAAATGGGTGGTATATAAAAGGGGTATTTGAATTATATTTTTCTTCCTTAACTTTTTCTTTTTATGTTTAATCCTAAAGTGGTTTTAACGAATTTTCTCTCTCTGTATTCATCTTTCGAGTGTCGTTTTTGGCGTGTGTGGGCATTCAAAATCAGATTTCGTCACGTACATTAAAAATCGTTTGCAAAATACCCATCACAAAAAGGAAAAAACAACAACAAACTTAATGCAATGAATATTGAGAAAAGAGATGCGAAAATTTTCTTTTTTGGCGGTTGACACACGGCATTGGCATGGATTGCATAATAAAATCAGCAAAGCTAAGAATTTTTGATTTCCGCATAAAAACCACATGAAAGATATAAAGACAAAAGGCATTTCAATACGATGAATCAAGCGATTTATTTAGTATTAAATACAAATGCAGCAAATTAATGAAGAATGAAGAATGTGCTATTGTTGCTTCCCATTCTCTCTCTCTCATTCAAATTGTGCTTAAAAGTCGTTAAACAATTTGCTAAAAATAAATACATTGCGTATACGCCGCGTGTCCCGAGCTGCTTTGATTGCTGAGGCACAAACACACACTCACACACAGTCAAAGCCACTGAATTATTATGTAAAAGGAAAAATAGACGATGGCAAAAACTGACCTAAATACTAAATGAATGCCCATAAAACTGCGGCAAGTGAGACGGGAAATGAGCGGCCATAAACGAGAGTAGAGCAAAAAAAAAAAAGATGGAAAACTTTATGCGACACCCCAATCCCCAATCCCAACCATGAATACATCCCACTCCAAGTTGAATCCAACGCAAACCCGTAGGGAAATTGACCGTTTTTGATGTCTATGATGCGGGATAAATGTAAGGAGAGAGAGGACTCCCTTCTAGCGTACATAAAATATGACCATTATGCAGATGAAGCTAATTGTGCAGAGTTAAGTTTACGACCCTCGTAAACTTACTGCCCTGAATGAAAATAAATAAATAGGAGAGAATTTCAGCATTAAATGTCAGCAGTTAAATGCGGAAAGAATTCAACGCGCATAATTCATTGAAATATGAAAGGAAATATCCTTCGTTGAACGTTGAAATATTTCCTTCCTTTCGTTTGAAGGATTTCCGCCGGTTCTGTGTCTTATGTTCTTTGTTGCCCTGTCATTTATTTTCATTTTCTGTCTTTCAACAAGGTTTTGATTCACTGCGAACTCAAGTGCCAGAGAATTGTTTGTTAAATGAATCCCAAAAGGAAGAGAGAGTCCCTCAGTTTTGATTTGATTTCCTCGTTTCGAATCAAATTTTGTTGAAAATTTCACAATTTCTAGACAGATTAATAGTTGTCTCTCTAGCATTGCCTTGGCTAAATCCCCCTTTTTTAATTGTCTTCATGAATGAATGCTCACTTGGCCACCATTTGAAATGCTGTTGACGGAAATTGTGAATATAATATAAATATAATTATAATTATTCACTTTCAGGAAGTGCAGTCGCATTATTTTGCATTCTGCCTTTAACAAATTCAGCGTTAAATTTGCGACAGCAAGTCGTGAGTAATGAATGGTTTTAATACATTAGTTTTTATTTTATTATAATGGTGCATTTTTATGAGGCCTTCTGACACACAAGTGTTGTGTAAATTATACACATTTTTATTTCTCTCTTTCTCCTTTTGGATACTTTGTGGGAAATATTTTAGTTTTTTTATTTAACTTTGACTTGTTTATTTAAAGAATATTGCATAGAAGTAGTAAAATCTCTTTGTAGATAACCAGAACATCAAAATATTGCTGGTTGGTTGTCTGTATTCTCTTTTTTTCAGTTTTCCTCTGGTTTTTCCTTCTCTTTTTGTTGGTGAAAATCAACCGACTGTAAAGATTTTTGTGGCTGTCGCTGCGCGGGTTACATCTGGGAAATATTGCTATGCGTTGTCGCATAAATTTGGAAAAACAAAACCCCCAAAAAAAGTACAGAAAAAACAAAAAGGAAACCCAGCATACAGCAAATGTCGAAGTTCAGACAGCGACAAGGCCAACGCATATTCCAAAGAGAAGATGATGATGAAGATTATTTACCAAGAAACAAGCTAAAAGGTCGTGAAGATTGAAAATGAAGTGAAAATTTCAGGGATAAGGCAGGGTATATGCTATATATATAAATATGTATTCAAGGGTGATTGAACCCTCCGAAAATTTCATCCAAATTGCGACGCAAATTTTTTGTTTTACTTGTACAACAAGGCGTATGCGTCATATTTGGCAACTAAATAAGATTGAATTCACTGTCGCCTTTATGCATAAAACTTCACTT